CTTGAGTGGCATGTTCCAAGGAAGGGATTCATTTAAAGGAAAAAAAAAAGGAAATGCAAAGAGCATTCGGGGATAATGATGGGCATGGTCTGGTAGAGGGAGAAAGAGATGGATGGTATAGATAATAGGGAGAAGGAGGAGGAAGAGCGGAGGAGGGGGAGCAACAAAGAGGAAAGAGGAGGGAGATAGAAGGGGGAAGGAGGGAAGGAAAGAAGGAGGGAGGGACGGAAGGAGGGAGGGAAGGAAGAAAGGAGGGAGGGAAGGAAGGAAGGAAGGAAGGAAGGAAGGAAGGAAGGAAGGAAGGAAGAAGGAGGGAGGGAGGGAGAGAGGGAAGGAGGGAAGGAAGGAAGGAGGGAGGGAGGGAGGGAGGGAGGGAAGGAAGGAAGGAGGGAAGGAAGGAAAACCTCAATCCTCGAGAGAGGAGACGGACCCAGGGGTTGGGGATTGAAAAGGCCTCATCTGGGAGGGCACAATGAAAAGGAAGACAAGGCAGGAGGTGGAGGGGGGCTTGTGCTCTTGGTGACAAGGGGGTTCCCGTCTGGTGGCTTGTGTTTGCACAGGGAAGGGCGGGACCTGCCGTCAGCTGGAGGGCAAGCGGGGAAAATGCAAGCACGCCAGAGATGTGGCGAGATTGCCCTGTGCCTGTTTGAGGTCTGTGACTTCTCCAGTTCAGGTAAAACCTGTCGGGCTGGCTGGGTGGTTTGTTCCTGCTGTTCAGCTGGCAGAGAAGACGGAGGTGGCAGGAGTCCGGCCAGGTGAGCGCTTTGGAGGATGAGAGGAGTGAGGAGTTTGGGAGTGCTCAGAGGAGAGATGAATCACATCATGGGACGTAGGGCTGAGCGGAGCAAATAGGCGAAGACAACCAGAAAGGGGTGGTGGAGAGGAGGAGCCTGTGGTCAGGGTGGACCCCTCTCTCTGAGAAGCAGCTTCACTGGGGCTTTCCGTACTGGTTTTCTTGCCACTTCCCTAGTTCCTTCTTTTCTGCGCCCTCACTGATTGACTTCTCTGATGCCTGTACTTCTCGGATTGTAAATCGGGGCCCTCTTCAACTCTCTTTTTCTGCGGTTCAGGGACCTTGCCAAAGCTCAGTTAAAAAAAAAAAATGCTCAGAGATTCCAGGATCCCTGGAAGGTGAGCCCAGCATGCTCAGCGCTGTCCCAACCTGTTGCAAAGTTCAGGTGGTCTGCACGCAGGTGTGTGTAGGGGCGGGGGTGGGGGAGAAAGGACCCCTAGGCAGCTTCTATCTGCCACTGTCCCAGGGAGCAGGTGGGGATTGCACTTCTGCACGGGCAGGTTCCCCCACGGCCACAGCGATGATTCCCAGTGTCCCGGTCACTCGCCTGCTCCATTAAGTCAGGATCTCTGGGCTTGAGACCGGGCTGGCCGGCCCCCTCGCAGGGTGCATTTCTACCACGCTGTTAAGTTTGGAGCTAGTTGTGTAATTCTTGGTCACAGCAAGGGGAGAAGCTATTGGAAGACGGTGAGTCTGCCCTCCCAGCGGAGCCTGCTTTGCAATGTCATATAATCAACCTCGAAACAGCTCTGTCACCTGGAATATTATTAAGGTGAGACATCGGCGACAGGTGGGGAATACGGACTGTATATTCGATAGCGTCACCAAATGGATCCTCAGGTGATGCGGATTTCTCGTCGCACCAAACCTAACTGGGAACCATGCGCGGAAGGGGGTTTTGAGAAAGGTGGCTGAGGCTTCGCTAAGTTGTGACGATATAAACGCATGGCAGGCCCGGCGGACATTTGTGCAGATGTCAGTCACATCTTGTCTCCTCCTTGCGGGGGACCCTTCTGTGGATTGCATCGACTTCCTGTGCCATCCAGACTCCTTCCCGGGGCCCTCAGCTGCCACACTGGCTCTCTTTGAGCTCCTCTGGCCTCTTTTTGGCGTCACGACCTTTGTACTTGAAATCGCCTTTACTGGCATTATCACTCCAGACCTTTGTGTGGCTGGCACCTCTTAGCCTTCAGATCTCAATCCAAAGGCCGCCTCCTCCAAGAAGCCTTCCTGGATTGCACTATCTCAGGCATAGTTTCTCACCCCAACGGGCGCACAGGAGTCATGTGGGATCTTGCTAAAATGCAGATGTGATTGAGGAGTTCTGGAACCGGGCCAGAGCTGCTGCATGGCTACCAAGCTGCCCGGGCTGCCATCTGGGGAACCAGCTTCCAACAGCAACTGGCTACAACGCCCTGATCACTATCACATCATCCCGCCTTTCCTTCTTTCTTTCTTCTTCTTTTTTCTTTTAATAGCCCTTATCTCACTTTGAAATTAACTGGTTTCTTTCCCTGTTTACTGTCCTTCACCCTCATGGGAAGGGAAATTCCAGGAGACCAGAGAAGGTGTCTGTTTGTTCACTTCTAGGCACTGGTGCAGATGCTCAGTATTTGTAAAATAAATATGGGGCCAGGCGTGGTGGCTCACGCCTATAATCCTAGCACTCTGGGAGGCCGAGGCGGGAGGATCGCTCAAGGTCAGGAATTCAAAACCAGCCTGAGCAAGAGTCAGACCCCATCTCTACAAACAATAGAAAGAATTTTTTTTTTTGAGACAGAGCCTCCGCTTTGTTGCCCAGGCTAGAGTGAGTGCCGTGGCGTCAGCCTAGCTCACAGCAACCTCAAACTCCTGGGCTCAAGCGATCCTCCTGCCTCAGCCTCCCGAGTAGCTGGGACTACAGGCATGCACCACCATGCCCTGCTAATTTTTCCTATATATATTAGTTGGCCAATTAATTTCTTTCTATTTATAGTAGAGTCGGGGGTCTCGCTCTTGCTCAGGCTGGTTCCGAACTCCTGACCTCGAGCGATCCTCCCGCCTCGGCCTCCCAGAGTGCTAGGATTACAGGCATGAGCCATTGCACCCAGCCAATAGAAAGAAATTAATTGGCCAACTAATATATATATAGAAAAAATGAGCCGGGCATGGTGGCGCATGCCTGTAGTCCCAGCTACTCGGGAGGCTGAAGTGGAAGGATCGCTTGTGCCTAGAAGTTTGAGGTTGCTGTGAGCTAGGCTGAAGCAATGGCACTCTAGCCCGGGCAATACAGAGAGACCCTGTCTCAAAAAAAAAAAAAAATATATATATATACACATATATATATATATATATATATATATCTGTGTGTGTGTGTGTGTGTGTGTGCGCGCGCGCGCGCGTGTGTTATGTGTCTTCTAACTGCTGGAGACTCCAAGATGAAAAGAGACAGTGTAAAGGGGACCAAAGGGCAAACGGGAGCTTATGATAAGATAATGGAGGTGGGGCAGGAGAATTTCCTACATGCCTTGTTTTCAAGGATGGCTGATTCCTACCCTTAACAATTGATCTTTATTTTATGTGTCTCTTATCTCTCCAACCTCTCAAACGATCACAAGTCAGTAAGGGCGTGGCTATCTGCTGGGGCTTTTTCTGTAATCTCTCTTGGTGCCTAGAACATCCCTGGGGACAGGGATGGCGGATAGCGACTTAGCACACACTTGGTTGCACCATTTATTTGTTAAAATGGCCAAATGTCAAAAGAAAAAATTAGGCCGGGCGCGGTGGCTCACGCCTGTAATCCTAGCTCTCTGGGAGGCCGAGGCGGGCGGATCGCTCGAGGTCAGGAGTTCGAAACCAGCCTGAGCAAGAGCGAGACCCCCGACTCTACTATAAATAGAAAGACATTAATTGGCCAACTAATATATATAGAAAAAATTAGCCGGGCATGGTGGCGCATGCCTGTAGTCCCACCTACTCGGAGGCTGAGGCAGGAGGATCGCTTGAGCCCAGGAGTTTGAGGTTGCTGTGAGCTAGGCTGACGCCACGGCACTCATTCTAGCCTGGGCAACAAAGCGAGACTCTGTCTCAAAAAAAAAAAGAAAAACTTAGCATGGTGGTGGTTGTTGATTGTCGAAGCAAGTACCACCTAATCCTCTTTTTAGTGCAATTGGCTGGCAGCCCCCTCTCCCCCCAACCTGTCCAACTCACACAATCATCCAGATCCCTCCACGCGCAAACCCTAGGGGACAGGAAAAGCCCAGGGCTGGGAGTCAGGAGAGTTGACTCTGGCCCTGCTTTTGCCAGTGACTTGCTGTGTGACTTTGGGCAAGTCGCTTGACCTCTCTGGGCCTCGATTTCCCAATCTGCACACATGGAAAGGGTTGGGTCACATGAGGTCTCTAGTCCTTTGCTGTTCTAGCATTCTGTTCTATTTTCCTATATTGAGGTGAGTTTTCTCTGAGGGATTTGGGAGCTTCTGAGACATCGGGACATGCCTTCAGTGTAGGCGCTGACCCCCTCGGTGTCTGCGGCCCCATCGGAGCAAGCAGGACTACTAGAGGAGTGTCCTGCCCTGTGGCCACCAAGTCACAGCACATCGACCAAGAGCCAAGCCAGAACGCTCCCCGAGGCTTCCAGGATTCAGGGCACAAACACACCACACTGTCCCTGTCCCCCACAGTAACACCCAGCACAGCCACGCACGCCTCAGGGCCTTTGCCCAAGCAGTTCTGCCGGCCAGGACTGTTGGCCGTCCTCCCTCCCAGCTGTTTAATCATTAGCTTATGATCTGCACTTCACTCTTCAGCCAGGGCTTTCTTAAAAGTCTTCCCATTGTCTCTTTTTTTTCTGAGACAGAGTCTCACTCTGTCACCTGGGCTAGAGTGCTGTGGCGTCAGCCTAGCTCACAGCAACCTCAAACTCCTGGGCTCAAGCGATCCTCCTGCCTCAGCCTCCTGAGTAGCTGGGACTACAGGCATGCGCCACCATGCCCGGCTATTTTTTTCTATATATATATTAGTTGGCCAATTAATTTCTTTCTATTTCTAGTAGAGACAGGGTCTCGCTCTTGCTCAGGCTGGTTTCGAACTCCTGACTTTGAGTGATGCTCCCGCCTCGGCCTCCCAGAGTGCTAGGGTTACAAGCAGGTGTGAGCCACCTCGCCTGGCCCCCATTGTCTCTTTGTGGCCACCCAGGCAGATGGGTCATTGTCCCCAATCTGTAGAAATGGAGATTTGGAAGAAATTGACTGACTCACTCAGGGTGAGGCTGTGAAGCTAATGAGTTGGGAGCCAGGATTCAAATCTAGGCCTTGGGGTCCTGCCTCCTCCATTTACTAGCTTAGTCTCCCTGTGCCTAAGTCTGCTCATCTGGGAAATGGGAGTGATAGTGGTATCTGCCTCATAGGGGGCTTGCAAATATAAACTTCCCAAAGCAGCGCCTGGCATGGAGGAGGGGTGACGGTGAGGCTGCTACTGGTGAAGTCTGACTTCAGATCTTGGGTCCCTCCTTCCACGGCAAGCTCTGGGCTCTGGCACGAGGCTGGTCGTCCCTCACGCTGTAAGGCTGGTGAGCCCAGGTCCTACGTCGTGACTCGCCCATCCGGGTACCTCCCGTATGCCAGGCACTGTGTGTGCTACTTTCACAAACATGTTGCATGAATCCCTCTAATCATACAATTATAACTGTAGAACATAATCTGCAGAAAGAAGTTTAATTTAATGGATACATTTTACTTTAATTTTAATCAATACATTTAAATTAATATATCTTAATTTTAATCAACACATTTTAATTTAATTTTAATCACTAAGTTTTCATTTAATTAAAAAAAAATTTGGTAGGCTGGGCAAGGTGGCTCACGCTTGTAATCCTAGCACTCTGGGAGGCCCAGGTGGGAGGATCATTTGAGCTCAGGAGTTTGAGACCAGCCTGAGCAAGAGCGAGACCCCCGTCTCTACTATAAATAGAAAGAAATTAATTGGCCAACTAATATATATAGAAAAAATAAGCCGGGCATGGTGGCGCACGCCTGTAGTCCCAGCTACTTGGGAGGCTGAGGCAGGAGGATTGCTTGAGCCCAGGAGTTGGAGGTTGCTGTGAGCTAGGCTGACAGTATGGCACTCACTCTAGCCCAGGCAACAGAGTGAGACTTTGTCTCAAAAAAAAGAAAAATTTGCTTGTGCATGTGGAGTCAGCTAGAGGTGAGCCAGGCAGCCCTCTGATCTTGGTGGGACTCACTCCCATGGTGGCCGTCACTGGCTGTCGAGTGACCTAGGCTAGCCTAGGTGACCAGAGCAACTAGACTCTGCTCCACGTGTGTCTCTCTCATGCTCTAGGCCAGCCCGGGCATGTCCTGGTGGTGTCGGCAGGAACCCAGGAGTGAGTAAACCCAATTGCACAAGCCCCACTGAGGCGTCCGCTCGTGCCCCACGCGCTAACATCCCATTGGCCAAGGCAGGTCGTGTGGCTAAGCCCAGAGTCCGAGTGGGAGGCCACAGCAGAGTCATAAAGCAAAAGCTGTGGACGTAGGGCGGGCCGAAAAAAAGGGAGCCTTTTGCATTCTGCCACAGAAAGCTTTTGCTTTCCTGTTTGCCTACTTAGAACAATGGAGCAAACACGTGATCCTTGGAACGGCAGCAGCAGAGCAGGATAAGAAAAGCCACCACGACGACGTGGCTACGCTGTAGAACCCGCCCTGGCCGCTCTTAGCTGGGTGTTATTTTTTTTTTTTTTAATTTTTTAATTTTTTTTTTTATTTTGGCATATTATGGGGGTACAGATTTTAAGGTTTCAATAAATGCCCATTTCCCCCCCTCCCCCCAAAAGTCTGAGTCTCCATCATGACCATCCCCCAGATGGTGCACATCTCACTCATTATGTATGTATATACCCGCCCCCCTCCCCCCTCCCACCTGCCCAATACCCTATTACTGTAGCACCTATGTGGGTGTTCTTTTTTATTTTTACTTTTTTTGAGACAGAGTCTCACTCTGTCGCCCAGGCTAGAGTGCCGTGGCCTCAGCCTAGCTCACAGCAACCTCAAACTCCTGGGCTCAAGCAATCCTGCTGCCTCAGCCTCCCGAGTAGCTGGGACTACAGGCACGAGCCACAATGCCCAGCTAATTTTTCTATTTTTCAGTAGAGCCGGGGTCTCATTCTTGCCCAGGCTGGTTTCGAACTCCTGACCTAGAGCAATCCACCTGCCTCAGCCTCCCAGAGTGCTAGGATTACAGGCGTGAGCCACCACGCCCGGCCCTGAGGGCTAGCTTCTAGATTCCGCTTTATAATCCCTCAGAAGGAATGAACCCAGCTGGCATCTTCATGGAGTTCTAACCTGCAGAACTGTGAGACAATAAATTTCTTTATTGTGAGAAAATAAAGTACCCAATTGTTGTAATTTGTTACGCCAGGCCTAGGAAAAGAATCCATGACTCTATGTGACTTTTGAAGCAAGGTCATAAAAAAGCAATATAGTTTCTGTTTTGCTCTCTTGGGACACTCACCTTTGGATCCCTGAGCTCCTGGGCAAGAAGTCACAGTGCCCCGAGGCTGCTGTGTTGGGAGCAAGCCCGGGCCATGCAGAAATGCCACCTGTTGGTGTCGTGGCCAACAGCTCCTGGCTGACAACCCGCATCAACCTCTGGATGCGGAGTGAAGGAGCCTTTGGGTGACCCCAGCACAGCCACCAACTGACGACTGCCCGAGAGGCCCTGAGTCTAGCGAACCCCCAGATTTGTGACAACGTAAATGACTGTGATTGTTAAAGCCACCGTTTTCTGGCAGTTTGTTATGTAGCAGTAGATGCCCAGAGCGCTGGTCTGTGCCTGCTCAGCCTTCGAGTCTCAACTCGAGAGTCCCTGGCTAAACAAGCCTTTCCTGACCCTCCAGGCCCGACCGCATTCCCATGCCATACTGTCTCACTGGCCCTCAACTTCCCCTCTGTAGCTCTTGTCATCACCCTCATCAGTCGCATGGTTAGTTGTTTAATGCCTGTCTGCCTGCTTTGGTCTGAACGTGTCCCCCCAAATTCACGTGCTGCAAACTGAATCCTCTGTGCAACTGGGTCAGAAGGTGGGGTCTTGGGAGAGGTGTTTAGGCCACAAGGGCTTCACCCTCATCGATGCCATTATAAAAGGGTTTGATGGTGGGACTTTATCCTTTTATGTCCTTCTGCCTTCTGCCACGTGGGACATAGCGTCTGTCCCCTTTAGAGGATACCAGGCTCGAGGGACCATCTTGGAAGCAGACAGCAGCTCGCATTAGACACCGAACCTGTTGGTGCCTTGATCTTGGACTTCCCTGCCTCCAGGACTATGAAAAATAAATTTCTGCTCCTTGTAAATTACCCACTCTTGGGTATTTTGTTGTAGTATCGCAAACAGACCAAGACCCTGTGGCCTATGTGGAAGGGGCCCGGCATACCAGTTATATATACCTCTAGGACCTGGTTCATTGGGTCCCAACGTATCTAAAACTGAGCTCGTGACGGTCCCCCACTATGTCATCTGCGCCCCATGTCCCACCAGGGTTCCCATCTCTGTGGAGGGCACCAACACTCATTCACTGGGTTGTTCTGCTCAAAAATCCTTTTTTTTTTTTTTTTTTTTTTCATCTTATGGAAACAAAGACACCTGATTTTATCACATTAAAGTGTAATACATTTCAATCATCAAATCTCAGACCCTGACTGCCTCTATTTCCCTCTTCAACTCTCTTACTTTGGTTCACCACATACTTATTCTCCAAGCTCTTTACCCAGAGATTTT